GACTGCTATGTTCATTATTACATCCAACAACAGAACACCTCAATCGCTTAGGAGTCATTCTTGTCTAAATCTGCTCCAGCGGTGAAACAATGGCGGACTGATGAGAGCTCACTCAGGGCGGGTCTAAGGTAAGACGCCAGTCCAGTCTGTGCTGAAACGCTACTGTCAATCAAACTATCGTGGGAGGGGCCTGTTTTTGTGACATCACACAGACAGGCATCTGAGATCGGCTCGATTTGAGAAAGGGTTAAAGATTTGAGCAGATAAAAAAAAAAAACACTGGGTGGATTTTTATCATTATAGGGTGGTTGTGTACACACACTGCCAACACACATTTCAGTTCAAACAACTTGTAAAAGTGCATGTAGCATCATATGACCCCTTTAATACACGGTGCACTTTCAGATTTAAAACTTGGCAGGATGTTTTCATTCACTTAGAGCTGTGTTACACACTGCATGAAAGGTAATTTTCAAAAATCCATAATAATCCGCACTTTAAGGATTGTCTTTTTGGAGTAATGTTAATGCTTTGAATATCCAGAATGTTTCATCTGACTTACATTGATTTTATGGACACATTCTTTGTGCTTTTTACATAAAACACAAAAATATGGACAACGCATGTTCCTGCATTAACTTGTGTTTGTTTATTGGAAGGTTTTATATTAATAAATGTAAATGCACCAAATGTAAACCCCATTTTATTGCCCTTAAGCAAGAACCGAATATGTATTAAGGTACAATCTCTATTCAGTCTATTAATAAGAAAGCAATCAAAACATCTAGAATATCGACAATGTTTGACATACTTTCTTACATTTTTTATCATCATTTGTGAACTCTTTGTTGTACACAAAATTGTATGTTATTTCTTCTTGTATGTATATCAGAATTGCATATTACTATTGCATATCCCAGGAGGATCCTGCACTTTATGGCTTTATTAATTTTAATGTGGAATTTGCATATGCGTGACAGTTAAATAAAATGCGAAAGATGTATTATTTTGGCTTGGGGGTCATAGTGGTCTGGCAGATGGAACACACTCACCATAGGGGCAACCCTACATCCCTAAAGTCCCAGGGCAGTGATTGGTAAATAACAATGTTGTTCCAATCACTGGCCTCTGATTTTTCTTTAATAATAATTGGTTGACAGGCACTTTACTCCAGGTCCTAAGTTCTCCTAACGCTAAAATCAGTAGTCAAGTGATTGCTTAAGAGGACTGATTTTCGAGATGAACCCTTGCACTGTGATTTTAGGTTAGTAATAGGGTTTGTTTAGGTTTAGAGTTGATAAGAACGTAGTTCCAGGTTAAGTAGAAGGTGCTGAGCAACATGTACTGCTAAACCAGTCGCGTCCCATGCATTTAGCCTTGTTACATTATATAAACACAACAGCATCATAATGAGAACGGTAGATGCGCAGCTGCTGCACGGATGCGCTGCGTAACTGCGCATCCGTGCAGACGAGGCGTTCAGAGATGTTTAGAAGAGCTCTGACCTGCTCGTCGAATCGGGTGATGACGGCCTGGACCCACTCCACGGGCTTCTGCGCCGCCATGGCCGCTCACGCCTGCACCTCCGCCGCTAATGATGATGATGATGAAGATGATGATGAAGTGGAGGAGGAGAGGACGCCTTTTCCGCGGTCTGCGACCCCTGCGCTCCTCGATCCGCGCCGCGCTGAGGGCCGAACGAGGGGCGGCTCGGAATTCGGTCTGGTCGGTGTCAGAAACAGCAGCATGCCGCCATGACAGTGCCGGAAGTTTGAATCCTCCGATCCAGCGAAGCAGCAGCAGCAGCAGCAGCAGCACAGTAGCGGTGCAGATGAGAGATAGAACAGAGTGCGCATGCGCATGCGCCAGCAGAGCGAGAGAGCGAGAGAGAGAGAGAGAGAGAAATTTAGCACCTTTATTTAATACAAAATTCTAAGAAAACTCACATTCCATACAAAACACCTCATTAGATTATACAATATTCTCAGCGAAAGACAATAATTTACATAATTTTCAACCAATTTTCTACACTCCAAATGTCTTCAAACTTGTCCACCTCCTTCATAGAGAGAGCGAGATTGTAGGCTATTTTTTTTTTTATTCTTTTCAATTCGTTTATAATGATATGTTTATTTTTATTAATTTTTTTAAATTATATATATATATATATATATAGTTTATATATAAACTAGATTCTATATTCTTTGAATAAAACTAGATTATTATAATGCTCTGCCAATATTGTAATCAATAGTCAAGCTTCTTGGATGTGAAATAATACTATAAAATTAATTAAAACTGATACTAAAATTCAGAGAAAGAGATTTATTATATTTTTTATATTCATATTTATGCTTAGTTATTTTATTTGAATTATATTTTGTATAGAAACAAAATTCGATATTCCTAATATAAAACTTAATTCTATTAATATCATACAATATTATTCTTTAATGCTTTGCCAATATTGTAATTAATAGTCATGTCAATAAAATTTCTTGGACATAAAATTAATTGAGAGAGAAGAAAACTATGCTATAAAAACTGAAACTGAAACTAATATTCATATCTATACACTATTCATGTATATATACTTTATGATAATAATGATTATTTAAATACATACTTAGCTCTAAATATAACAATACCTCATGTGGAACTTTCTGAACAATGTTATTATACCACAATATTTAAAAAAGTAATAATGTAACACATGAGGTTTGTGAATATCATTATGTTTAATCAGTTGATTAATGTTAATAAGTAATGTTTTAATAGCCCTATGTCCAAGCAGGCTGTCTCTCTTGCATTTAGCTATTTTACAGTCACATGCTGTAAAGGAAATTAGATTTATGAATTTTGGGAAAGGCTGAGAGAGAGAGAGGGAGCAGAATAAAGAGCAGCTTGTTGCAGGCAGTGAGGTGCTGTGTGAGTAAAACTCAAAAGAGATGCCTGAAACAGCATGGTCAACACAGAACAGTGAGCGCTCTCAGACACAGAGAAATCAGAAGCTGCCTCGAGACACAAAGAAAACCTTTGTGAGGAGCCCTGGAGCTCAAACCTCGGCAGGGGAAACCGTGAATGGACAGTTTCTCAAGAGTCTGCAGACCTAGTGATGGTATTCACAAGAATATGGACTGCTGGCAGCATGATGCTGTGTTCACGGTGTTTTTGGCAGTTCATTTACTCTCTGATATTGAATGCTCTGATATAAAAATGGAAACTTGACTGTTTTTTTAAACGATGGACCACATTCATCAATATATATAAAAAAAAACAAAAAAGCATTCATTATATTAAACAGCAGAGTTATATCTTCCATAGACAATGAGCATCTTGCATCACTCAAGTGCTATATATAGTTCCCTGAAGTTTTGAATGCATGGTTAGTTACAGCTTTGAAAAAGGAAAATGCTTTTTAAAGAAGTATCTAAGCTATTAGCATCAAGGGCCTCACTGTGCTGGTGAAGTTGTGTGAACCTATGTATTGATACACCTGACACCTTTTCCAGTAATGGGTTGGACTTCCTGCAGTGAGTGTAATACTGACCTCTGCGGGTCATTACAGGTATAACGACTGAGAGAAACCGAATTAAGTCATTATTCTGAACTCTTGGGTTTTTTTTCTTTTCACAATTGTACTCAATGAGAGGGACATTAGTTGTAATTACAGCCATGTACTTGGAATTCTGAGACAATTGTTGTATATTTGTCCAACATTCCGTGAAAAAAAAACAATCAAATAAAAACAAAAAAGCATTCATTATATTAAACAGCAGAGTTATATCTTCCATAGACAATGAGCAGCTTGCATCACTCAACTGCTATATATAGTTCCCTGAAGTTTTGAATGCATGGTTAGTTACAGCTTTGAAAAAGGAAAATGCTTTTTAAAGAAGTATCTAAGCTATTAGCATCAAGGGCCTCACTGTGCTGGTGAAGTTGTGTGAACCTATGTATTGATACACCTGACACCTTTTCCAGTAATGGGTTGGACTTCCTGCAGTGAGTGTAATACTGACCTCTGCGGGTCATTACAGGTATAACGACTGAGAGAAACCGAATTAAGTCATTATTCTGAACTCTTGGGTTTTTTTTCTTTTCACAATTGTACTCAATGAGAGGGACATTAGTTGTAATTACAGCCATGTACTTGGAATTCTGAGACAATTGTTGTATATTTGTCCAACATTCCGTGCAAAAATGTTCAGATTAGTGGTTAACTAATACAGGTTTTTCAATTATTATTTGGTTACACCCCTCAGTCCGGAACATTAATTTAACGTAAGATGTTGAAACACACACTTGTGTACTTCAGGTTTAAGCATGTTCTGTGCAATATGAGAAAGAATTCAGACTGGAATATCATCATAAACAGGTTTCATTCCATCTGACATCACTTCACAAATCTCTGCAAAGCCCTGAGATCCTTTTAAAAAGTTTCTAACATGTATAAATTTGACCACGCTCGATTTTATTGTCTTTCAAGGATGAGAACAAACACTGTATACAGTAGCCACATGCAATACAAAAATATGACTGTACATGACATGTATCGATCCATTCTAAAAAAGTTTTCCATGTTTTTTTTTGTTTGTTTTGTTCTGTTTTGTTTACATGAAAAAATATAAAGAATATTTACATCTGGGATACCACAGCAGTATCTATTCAAAATGTCATGATGTACAGTATATATATATATTTATATAAAATGCCCATATAAATATTAAAAGAATTCTGTTCATTGACTGTACAATAAATAAACCATATTTATACATAAATATTTTACATTGTCATTGATATTTCCAAACCACAAAGTCCAGTCTTGCACAGAACAAACAAACACACACCCTTCCACAAACATACACAATGTTACAAACACGCACGTTACACACAAACACACATGAGAGTTCATGTTTACACAACTTATGGAACACTGTTCTGCTGGGTTCATCGAAATCTGGCTTTAATGCAAACGTTCAACATCTTCATCGTGGAAAATCAGGCCCTGTAGTCGGGTGAGAAGACGCACATGCTTCTCTTTGGCTCATTTTCGCAATCAGTACTCAGAAAGGGCCCTTATGTAACTCGCACACCACATTTGGTTAGACCCTCACAGGTCAATAAGTTTCCATCAAGAACATTATCATTAGTGAAACAAAACATCTACTATCGGACACCATGGAGGAATAGTGACAGCTAAAGGTGTGTTAGCATGAACCAGACGAGCCTATCAGAGACAGAATCAGGGCATGTCACACATGACTAAGAGGCACCATGACCACAGGAGAGGGAGTGAGAGAGAGAGAGAAAGGGAACATCTTCATCGTCGTGTCATTGAGTCCTGCAAATCCAGCGGGAAAAATGCACCACGTGACGTCACAAACTGGAGCGGAAAGGGAGAACCAGTCGCACACTCTGAAAATCATAATAGGAATAAAAAAGGCAAAGCATTTCGTTTTATGCATCGCCACAGCAGTCCCCCACCCACAGAACCAAAGAAAGGTAGAGACGGAAGAGCAGGCGATGTTAGTTTGTAAGTCCAGAAGAGGTCAGGCTTTCAGCAGGCATGCAAGGCAGAGCCAGGAATTGTGTTTTGCATTGATCATGTTTCAGGCACGCGGCTACAACCTACAACGACAAGAAATAACATTGACAAAACAGAAAGAGAAGCAGATTAGAGAGAGAAATGGTATATATGTGTTTATGTTGTAGAATTGTATATTGTATATGTGTAGTATGTCGTTTTAGAAAATGTGGAAATTCTCATTACTAGCAAAGAATATATAAAAAAATGTAATAAACAAAAAAGAATAATAATATAAATATATTATATAAATAATAATAATAATAATAAGCAATTATTGTTATTATTATTTAAATACATTAATAATTATTATTATTGTTACTACTAGTACTACTACTACTCATAATAATAATCACAATTTATGAGTAAATTATTTATTAGTTTTTTTATGATTTATTCGTTTTTATGATTTATTTTAAATGTGCTATTATTAAATTATGATTATGGCATTCTTTTTCCCATTTAAAAGTTCAACTATGTTGTTACAAGTGCTGACACTGCTCTTCTGAAGGTTAGACAGATGCTGCAGATAAAAATAATGACTGAACAAGATAAAAATACTCCAAGGGAAGAGATGGCCAGACAGAAAGTAACCAAACAACAACACATGTGATGCATTGTGGTGTCTCTGAGGTCATCTTTGCCACCGTTTCTGCAGACTGTGCACAACCTGTTTGTCCTCTTTTCTAGGATACGTACTCTGCAGACTTCCAGAAGTGGCCAGGATGAGACAGGCGGCGGTTGAGTTTGGGCAGTTTCTCCAGCATGTCGGCCAGCTGCGTGAACGTGGGCCGATTACGAGCGTCATATGACCAGCAGGCGGACAGAATCTCCTGTGGGACAGACAGAAATCAAGCAGTCAGCACAAACATCTGACGTTTGGATGGTTTTTACAAAGATATCTTCTAGTTCTAATATACCTCATTTTGGCCGAATTATAAGGTAGCACTCTAGAGTGTTTTGTGTTTCTCCTAAAACAGCTTCTACAGTACTAACCCATTAAATTAAATAGAAATCATTTAGACTTAGAAATTCATATGTTTATTTTCACATTATTTACAAATGGCTAGCAAGATATACAAATAATTACATTAAATTGTGACACACTAATTATGATCTATTTTTATGTTCTTTCTCTATATTTCTGTTATTTCTATATAACTGTATTAATTACAGTTTTTTTACTGTGTTAATCTAATTAATTTTATTAA